CCTTATGTTGCCTTCTTCCAATAACATTCAGGAAATCTATCCTGATGTTGTCGTTTAATTTGTCTTATCTACTGTACTTTGTTTTATCTACTGTCCTCTATATAGATCCACATGTATGGTCTGAACTCTTTTGGATGTATGTTTTGATTATCAAATGAAAAAGAATAAATGATCAGGAAGCTTTATCCTGAGAATGATATGATATACACTCAATGTCTTTATATATTCTTGCGCATATCATTATCTCCTTTAAAAAATTTTAAGAATATTGATAAAGAGAATAAGCATACACTAAAAAATAAATTTGTTACATAATCTGTTTTTTGTAAATTTTTTTGTAATAATTAATTTAATATGTCCTCAACAAAATTCAATAATTTTAGTTAATTTTTAAGGTATCCACAAAAGTCTGTTTCCATTTATTTTAATTGTTACATATGCATATCAAACAGGACCAAGTATTTCATCCACCTCCAAGTAACCGATTAGAAGGATAAATTATCTTTCTTAATTATCTAAGATTCTATTCTATGTCTTTTTCCCTTGATTTCGCTAGATTCCCACTTGTTTTCTATAATTTGTGGATTTTAATGTGTAAAATATGATTTTGGTCCTCCATAGATGATATATTCTAAACTTCATTTCTCTTAAAATTACTTATCAATTTAGAAATACATCAAGTAAAATAACTAAGATGTATAGTATAATATCAAATAATTGATCTTCTAAGATTTTTATTACTTTTTAAGACACCATGACCCAAAAGATTTGATATGTAAAAGAATATTTTAGGTTGTATTATTCTAGCTTGGATGGGAACTTGTAAATTTCATTTATGGAATCTACATGCCAAAAAAATATGTAGGAAAAGCAATTTAAATTAGTCGGAACAAAATTTTTGCCAATTCAGAGCTAAAGAGTCAAGCGAGGGGAAATTAAAGGAAGGCCGGGTCATATTTCACGTATGGTTTATATATGCACTGATAGGGGTTAGAAAAAAATTCATACAATATTTTGTGATTATATTGCATTATTATTTCAGAGAAGAATTAGTTTCAGTGCTCACTACATTAACGAGCATCGTGTTACTCATCGCTATGGTAAAATCTAAATCATTGAGATTGTTTTAATGGTCCACATTTAAAATTTTTAACTAGTGAATTTCAAATAAAACATATTTTCTTAAAAACTTACAATTAAGATATTACATTTACTTTGGATTATGTACCTATTAAAAAAATATCTTAAAAAAACAAAAATACTAAATATTAAATCTAGGCCATCCATATTAAATCTGAATGATTGAAATTTGACGAGTAGCATGGTATTTATCATTATGATGAGTATTAAAGCTAATTCCTTTAAGAGGTATCTTTTAAAGAAAAAGTTCCCAGAGATTGGTTGATGTTTAAATATGTTAATTAATGCCAAAGTTCGTATAGTTGTATGCTAAGATGAATATGTGAATTATTCTTGCTAGAATTGGCGGTACCTTGCTGTGGAGTGGGAAAATTCGCTTGTTTAAGGTATTTAATTGGCAATAATTGTACTTACTCCGCTCCGCTCCTTAACTCTACTCCCTCCAGTTTTTAATATAAAAGCTCATTTGATCTTTATTTTGATCTTAAATATAAGACTTCAATTCATTTTATCTCTCATGTTTATCCATTTTTTCTCAAAATAATCCTTGTAATAATGATAATTTTAGCCAATACACTTAATTAGCAAGGATATTTTAAGAAAAATAATACCTATTTATTACAAATAATTAATTTAACAAGCTTTTTTAATCTACTCAAATTGGTCAACTAACTCTTATATTAAGGATCGAAGGTAATATATAACATACAATTTGTAGTTCAAATTGAACTAAAATTAAATCTTATATTAAAGACTGAAGATAGTATTACATATATATCCCTATTGTAGTGAGAGACTTATTTGGGCTTAATAGACCATCTCTTGGCATATCATAAGTTATACATAACAAATATAAGTTGAACAGCTCATCCAAGGTATATCGTCTTTTGATTTTATGAATCAGTTTAAGGTTTATGGTGCACCATATACATTCAAACTCAAGCTCGTAAACTGAACTTAACCTCAGCACTTTTAAGCTATCCTTAAACGTTGAGGATTATAACAAAGTCATTGGACCTTTTTTTCCTTTTTCCTTTTTGATATGAAGACTACATATATATATATATATATTAATAAAGGGCTAATTTCGATCGCACCATATAAAAAATTTTCTGCAAAAAAGTTGTACATTAAAAATTAGGTTAATGCCTAATTTTGTCCTAAAAGTTTTGGTTGATAAGTTGTGGGTATCCAGAATTTTTTTATTTTTACTAATGTCATCCTAGAAGTTATAAAACGTAACGATATTGTCCGGACTATTGGTTAAAATTAAGTTTGACGATTAAAAGACACGTAAAACTCACACATGGCACTCAACATGTCATCCCATTGCCCCATCATTGCCACTCAGTTCTTCTATCTTTCTACCTAATCATCACACTTATCAACTTCACTTTCCCTTTCCTCTCAGTGCATTCGAATTTCAGACCCACCGTCGATAACCAAGATCTCCTCAAAAAACAGTTCAAACTTTATAAAAGCTGTGACGATAGCTATTGCGATCCAAATGGGTTTACGTATGCTTTAAAAAAAAAAAAAAAAGCCGTATGAAACTATCACTGAAGCTTTCTATTATTTACAACGGCATTACACAAATTTTAAGTTTCTTCATGAATTGATGCTCCGTTTAATTGTTGGATTGTTTAATTGCTTTTGAGAAAGAATGATGGAATCACCTGAATCGAGCTTCTTGTCATCCAAAAAGGTGTTTAAATTGTCACTTTCAAGAGCAGCCCAAAGCCTATCTGTGGATCTGCAAGTTTCGAAATCTCCTTTGAAACTTAAATAAAAATGGAATGGCCTTGATGACGACGATGATGATCTGCCAATGAAACTCTCCATGAGTCTATAATCTCCCAGCCTTAATGATCAGCTGTCTCTATCAACTCGCTGAGCTTGATATTTTCACGGCTCTGCGAATGAAAGAGAACAATAAAACGAAAACAAGGGAGGACTGTTAAGGAGGAAATTTCTTGGAACTTGCCCTGAAAGATTGTGTTGCAGAGAATTTTCGAAACAGAAATGAAGCTACAATAATTCACATAGGATGGCCAAAAATAATCACTTGCAGGTGGGAAGATATTGGCAGTGGGTCACTCGAAGCAAAACAGAGCAAAGCAGAGTGTTGCTTGGACAGAGAAACTAGCATGTTGAAACTAAAAGAAAAAGTGATACTAACTTCAGTCCCTAATATAAAAACCAGTTAAGGAAGCTAAGTAAATTATTTTAAAATATTTATATTTATTATTTTTTTATAATAATACACATAAGTATTTTAAAGAGATCATGTAGCATATTCTATAACTAAATAATTTATTTAGCTTTTTTAATTTTTTTCAAATTAATCAACTGGGTTTTATATTAATAATAGGATGTAGCATATAGACATAAAAAATAGAAGCAAAAGAATAATATACGCTACCGGTTCTTAATATATGCCCTAATTGAATAATTTGATGAGATTAAGCAAGTTACTATATTACTTAATTATAACATATGTGACATAATCTCTCCAAAATATTTATCTATATCATAGATTATATATCAATTTATAAGTGAGATAAATTAGTTTAGAGAAAAAAAGATAAATATAAATGCTTTAAAATAATTTATCAACTTTCTTAATTTTCTCAAATTAGTCAATTGGGTTTTATATTAAGTATTGATATATACACACATACATACACAGGTCGAGAGGGGGAGAGAGGCATGAGAAACAAAGACAACTGGAAAATCACATAGCATTCCTGAACACCAAAGCATTTACACAATTTTTGTCTCCTACAAGAAAATGGTTGCTGATGAGTAACTTAATTTTCATCAAGCACCTCAAAGGTGGAAAAATTCAAACAATGAGCCAATTTTGAGCAACAAGCTAGATTTAAAATCTCCAAGTTGCTCAGACAAAACAAGGCATTAGGTATACTAACAAGATTACTACAGCTTCTCAAATTTAAGAGTTTGAGCTTTGATATTTCAGCAACAGATGGGTGAAGTTGCAATAGTCCAGTGCATGCTTCACGATCTAAACTTTCAAGATTTGGAACCCCTCCAAAATCTGGCATCTTCACCAAATTTTTGGAACCACCAAGCTTGATTTTCAGGTTAGGGAGCATCTGTCAATGAAATAGTGTGGCAGTACAATCAATAATTAAACTCTTTAACATTTTGAGCAATGAAACAAAAAAAAAAAAGTATAGATAGAAAGGAGAATGTTAACACTGCCTTTCTGCCTTCCCATATATCTTCAATTTTACTATCAGGCAAAATCAATTCAACCAATACATTAGGCTCAAAACTTGATGGTAAACTTGTGCAAGGATATTGATGCCACGAAACATATCTCAACTTGTTCGAAATACAATGCAGGGTTCCAGAAAAGCTCACGTTATGAAATATATATAAGTAATCTAAGATTGCTCAAGAGTGATAAAGTTTCAATTCTCAAAGTTGCCATTTTTGAGTCTCCCAAAATTAGGACTATAGCTTCAACTCTCTCAACAGCCTGAGAATAAATTAATTTATATGGAAATAAATGAATTTTGTGGATTATAATAATGTTTTACTAAAGGAAAAGAGTGAATAGAACTTACCATGCTTTCCTTTTGTTGCATAACATAATCAATATCATCTAAAAGCCACAACCTATTCCATTCAGGTGGCTTATAAGGGAATTCTCGCCTAACAATATGTCGTCCCATTCCTTGCAACATATTATGCATCTCAATTGTGTGATTGGAAATGCTCATGAGTGATTTTTCAATCAAAACTTCAATTCCAATTTCTGCAGAGAAACCACAACACAGTAGAATTTCCTTTACCCAATCAATCTTCATCCCTGTAAAAAAAGCATGCTATATCTAAAATATTTCCTTGTTCATCTGATCTAACTCATCAAAACTTTTCTTGAGAACTTCCATTATTTGACGATTAGGAATTCTCTTTAGCTGAGCCAAGGCACTTCTCCACTCTTGCACGCTTTTTTGGCACAAGGATGAACCCAAAGTCACTATTGCTAATGGAAGGCCATTAGCATATTCAAGCACACTATGTGTCATCTCTTCATATCCTCTCACAGGACAGTTATGGCTGAAGGCTTTTACACAAAATAATTGAAGAGCTTCATCCTCACTCAATAATTTAGGCCTGTAAATAGCATCCACTTCACATAGTTGAAGGACTCGTTCATCTCTAGTTGTTATGATAATTCTACTTCCCCCACGTAACCAATTAGATTTCACAATCAAATTCACTGCTTCTAGATTTTGTTCAAAACCAGCACCATCAAGAACTAGGAGAAACTTGTGGTGTCCTGGACTTGTGTGTGTTGAGAACATTCCTTTCAGAATAGGCTCTAGATCTGTATCTCTGGCCTCTAGTTTCTGAAGAAGAATTTCTTGTAGAGATCGATCATCTTGCCTTAAAGCTTCACTCATATGCTCTAGGAAACAAGAAGCGTCAAAATAGCGGGAAATGCTTCTGTACAATACTTGAGCAAGAGTTGACTTCCCTATTCCGCCCATACCACAGATGCCCACTATTCCAACTTCGTCATCTAAACCTAAATTCAAAAGCTTTTTGACTTCAGCCACACGAGATTGCATCCCAACCATCTCAAAAGGAAAATCTCTTTGATGCAATTGTGTCAGCACATCGTTAATAATTCCTTTGATCACTCGCGAACTTTGACAGAAGAAAAGAAGAAAAAATAAAACACATCAGATGAATCCGCTTTGTTTTGTCGACATGTGTCAGCAGGCAACCACGCATATAGCTGCCTGTTAACCTCAAGGATTTTATATCAGTTAACCATGCACATAAATCGTCATTATCTTTGCATTTTTGGTCTCCTGGACGACGAACACTGCTATTTTAAAAGTGTAGATGCTGTACTAATTGTTTAACAGTTACTCTAATAAAAATGATCTCTACAATTGGCCTGTGTATTGAGACTTTATGGACATGCATGATCTAAGAGCAAATGAAATTACTTACCCATATCGGACATCCCAACCTGGGAGATCCACCACTTTTTGTATAGCACTCCTCCATAATTGAAACTGTCCTATATAGTTAGAAAATGAAGGTTTTCGGGCATACTTGGAGTCTGCAATGAAGTCAGGTTGCCACGCGGAGGTCCGATCACGGTGACGAAGTCGGATCTAGGAGACACAGCAAATTACACCAGTGAGAGAGGTTTTTGGAGAGACTGAGAGGAGAGTTTGATCGTGAAGGGGAGAAAGAAAAACGCAAGTCACGTTCCCATAAACTGATCCCTATCTATCAGTTATGTAACTCCCCAAAACCGTCTCCTCTGCACAACCGTTCCCGCCTTTTGGCAAAATATATGAAAAGGCAAAAATTACAGTTAAAGACCCAAGAGTTTTGCTATTTACACTGGAGTCCCAAATGATAAATGGGCTTGGGTCCAATCCACCAAGGGTGGACTGGCCCATTTTCTTACATCTCCCACTCACACTTGGTGGATTAGATGTCGCGGGTCTAGTCTCTTCATCTTCCCTCAATTTCATACTTAGTGCTTTGCCGTGACTGCGTGGGCATGACGTCTTCGCTTGGGTCCCTGTACTAGAAATCCCTTTTAAAGGATCAGCACAAGTCACCCTCTCTTTTGTGTAGCTTGAATTTTAAAATTATGCCTCAGATGTCCTAGATTTACTTATATACACTTTTTCATGGTAAATCTAATCCCTCTGGAGTCAATAGTTGACTCAGATTATCTTTCTCTTATGTCTAGTATGCACACTTATGATCACAAAATGTCATAAGGGACATGTCACAGACACTAGCATAGGTGTGTATATCACAGTCAATCTTCCTTTCGCCCAAATATCACTTTGAAATGAATCAGTCGCTTTCTTAGCATACTACCTTAGATCGCATCAATCATGACCATAGGACATATGCCAAAGTAGCAGTCACTGAAACATATCTTCATGATATTGTCAAAGTCAAAGGACACCAATAGGAGGATAATTCCTCCCTGGGACTCACACAGCAATGAAGCAGGGATCTTTCACTTGCTTCCCTTTTGCGGTTCTCTCAGCACATGTGGTATGAAACACATGCTACGGTGTTACTCTTTTACTATAAGAGCGTATGTCGATTTGGGTTAACACCGTACAGACTTAGGTCCAGACACACTCAGTATCTAAACCCAAATTCTTCAACTCTGCTTATTGTTATGACGTCAACGTTGAAGAGTTTGTTATCTGGCTACAGGTATTATGGAAGTGGGATTCCAAACTTCGATCCAACTTTATCAACGTGGATCTCATCTTGACTTGCTACACTTTAGTCAAGGCGACATAAAGTTTGTGTTTCTTCTCTACCATATCAGCATTCATTACTGCTTTACTGATGAACACAAATGTCTCATCTTTGTTCACTCCACCTGAGTGTCAAAGGCGGTTGCCCGTGTGAGAGAGCCAACCTTTTTGACCTGTATGACATACTAGACATTGTATACTTTCAGACAGACACATAAAGTGATAACAAAATATAATTTCATTAATGAAGAATTCATATTACACTTTACGTATGCCAAGGGCTTGTACATGTTCTTTAAAAACTCTTTCGCCTATTGGCTTTGTCAGAGGATCTGCTACCATACATTTGGTTGAAATATATTGTACAGTAACAATCTTTTGTGCTATGTAATCTCTAACAAAATTATACTTGATGTCGATGTGCTTGGTTTTGCTGTGATACTTAGGATCTTTAGTATAGGCTATGGCTGCAGTATTGTCATAGTATATCATCACCGGATTGGTACTCTTGTTTCCAAATCCAAGGTGTTCTATAAATCTCTTCAGCCATAAAGCCTCTTGCACTGCTGCAGTGCAAGCCACAAACTCAGCTTCCATCGAATGTAAGGCAATGCACGTTTGCTTCTTGCTACTCCAACATATGGCGCCATTGTTGAGTAAGAAGGTATAACCTGAAGTTGACCTTCGTTCTTCTTCATCTCCGCCTACATCAGCATCGAAGTACCCAACAAGACGCAGGTCACCTCCTTCGTAGCACAGTGCATAATTGGAAGTGCCCTTTAAGTATCTCAAGATCCTCTTCATTACTTTCCAATGCTTTTCACCGAGGTTAGACTGGAATCTGCTCACCAGTCCCACTGCATAACAGATGTCTGGTCTTGTACACATCATTGCGTACATCAGACTTCCAACAGCACTGGCATATGGAACTCTTTCCATCTTCCTTTTATCAGATTCGGTTTTGGGACACATGTCAGAACTCAAAGCCACTCCAGTGGCAACGGGTGTACTCATGGGATTGCAGTTTTTCATGTTAAATCGCTCAAGAATCTTGTTGATGTAATTCTCTTGTGAAAGAGAGAGGATTCATTTTGAACGATTTCTTTGGATCTTAACTCCAAGTATATACTCTGCTTCACCCATGTCTTTCATTTCAAAATTCGACGAAAGCCATTCTTTAATAGCCACCACCGAATCTAGACTATTTCCGCCTAATAGTATATCGTCTACATATAAGGATAATATGACAAAATTACCCTCAAACTGCTTAATGTAGACGCAGTGGTCTTCCTCTATCATTTGGAAGTCATATGAGGTTGTTGCTTTCTGAAACCTCAAATACCACTGTCTGGATGACTGTTTCAATCCATAAATGGACCTTTTGAGTTTACAAACTTTGTTTTCTTTTCCTTTTTCAATGAAATCTAATGGTTGTTCCATATAGATTTCTTCATCCAGATCACCATTCAGAAATGCGGTTTTTACATCCATTTGATGTAATTCTAAATCTAAACTGTTTACTATTGCCAGAATAAGTCTAATAGAATTGAAACGCACAACAGGTGAGAATGTATCTTCATAATCTATTCCTTCCTGTCGTGTGTACCCCTTTGCCACTAATCGAGCCTTGTATTTGTCAATTGATCCATCCACTTTTCTTTTAATTTTGAGAACTCACTTGTTCCCAATGGCTTTACGTCCTTTTGGAAGATCAACTAACACCCAAACTTGGTTCTTTTTCATTGAGTCTATTTCTTCTTCCATAGCTTTCATCCATTCATCTTTCGCAGGACCTGACAAGGCCTCTCGTACAGAACGGGGCTCGTTATCCCCTTTTGGAGTAACTAAGAGAGATTCGCCTTCTATTTGAAAGCGTCTTTTGGGAACATTTTCCCTGTTACTCCTTCTGATGGGAGCTATTTGCTTATCTTTCTTTCTTTGTTCAGGTCTTGGTGTTGACCTTTCTTGGCTCCCACTCAGATTGACACACCTAGACGATTCTGGTCTGTCAATTTGTTCTGCACTGACTTGTTCATGTGTCTCATAAAGAGAAACAGTACGGTCAACATCTCCTCTATTAGGAAATTCAGTCTCAATGAATGTTACATCCCTTGATTCTATTTCAGTCACGGTTCCATCTTTGTTTTCACCTATGAAAACGTATCCCTTTGATTGTTCAGAGTACCTTATGAAGATACACTTCTTTCCTCTAGGACCCAATTTCCCATGCTTGTGGGAATCATCATGAACATATGCTGCTAACCCCCAGGGTCTTAGGACACTTAGATCCGGTTTGCGTTTTGTCCATAATTCATAGGGTGTGGAAGCGACTGATTTTGAGGGCACACGGTTAAGTATGAAGGTTGCCGTTAACAAAGCATCACCCCAATATGAAATTGGTAGGTTTGCTTGAGCCATCATAGAGCTAACCATGTCTAGAAGAGTTCTATTCCTCCTCTCAGCCACTCCATTCTGTTGTGGAGTGCCAAGGATAGTCAGTTGTCTAATTATCCCTTTTTCCTCACAGAGCTGTTTGAATTGATCAGATAAATATTCACGACCTCGATCAGTACGTAATGCTTTAATTTTACTATCTATTTGATTCTCTATCTCATTTATGTATCGTCTAAAGCACTCAAGTGCTTCAGACTTATGCGAGATCAAATAGACATGACCATATCGTGAAAAATCGTCAATAAAGGTAATAAAATACCAAGCTCCGTGTCTCGCCCTCACACTCATTGGATCACAAATATCAGAATGGATTAATTGCAATGGATTTTCAGCTCTTGTTCCCTTACCGAAAGGTTTTCTAGTTGCCTTACCAGCTAGACAATTTTCACATAAGGACATTTCCATGTTAGGGATTGTGCCCAACATTCCTTCTTTTGCTAGTTTAATCATTCTATTTTGATTAATATGTCCTAGTCTAATATGCCAGATATTCATATCAGAATTGCTTGAAGAAATAGCAAAACAATCATGAGCGTTAAAGCCAAAAGCAAGATCCATAACAAAAAATTTCTGGAATCTGAATGCTGAACCATAAAATTCAGAGTTGAAGGAAATGTCTGCAACTTTATCATGAAAATAAACATTAAACCCAAAGTCTACTAAGCAAATAACAGAAATTAAATTCCGTCGGATGTTGGGAGCATGAAGCACATCATGGAGTATCAAGGTCTTTCCACCACGCAAAGCAAGCTTGCAGGTGCCAATGCCTCGAACCTCGATTCTCGCATTGTTCCCAACATAAAGCCACTTGCTTTGATACGGCAACCGACGGTATTCCACGAAGGATCCCCGATCCCTGCTTACGTGGTCTGTGGAGCCTGAGTCTATAATCCAAGAAGAAGAAACAGGTTCTGTTAGAAAAACAGTACTAGAAACATATGAAACATGTGAATTCACATAATTCACTAATACCTTTTCGCTTTCAGCCTGTTTGGAACAGTCACGTGCAAAATGGCCCATTTGTTGGCAGGCGAAGCATTTGACCTTCTTCAGGTCTAGCTTCTTCTTCCCGCCTTTCTTTCCCTTCTTCTTAAATTGTTTCTTGCCCTTTTTAAATTGAGGACCGCCCTTCTTCCCTTTCTTTTGGGGCTTCTTGCCCTTTTTGAAATTGGGCTTAGATTGGGAAGTACCAGCATCCTCAGTTAAATAAGTCTGTCCAGAGCTCTTGTAAGCCTCTAGACGTTCATCTTCCAGCTCCAGATGCTTAGCTACATCATTAAAAGTGATGATGTTTTCATTGTGGGTTAGGTTGACTTTCATGTGCTCCCAACTTGTAGGGAGTGACCTGATGACAGCCTGCACTTGCTGCTCATCAGACAGGTTATGTCCAGCTTCCTTCAGTTCCCGGATCATATTGGCCATCTCTCTCAAATGTTGCTTCATAGGATTGTTTGGCTTGAGCTTATAGGTATCAAACTTAATCGTCAACCTTCTAAGCTTGGTCGTAGAGACTCCGCCAAACTTATCCTTCAATGCTATCCACATGGTCTGTGCAGTTTTGTGCGACTCAAACTCACACATTAGGTCATCAGCCATGGAGCTCAAAAGCATGATTCTTGCTATGCTATTCTTCTTTTTCCAGGTTAGATATGCCTTTTGGTCTCTCCTGTGCTGGTTTGTGTTGCCAGCCTCAGGTTCAACCATAGCAGTGGTGAGAGGCTCTATCGCATCCTGTTCCTCTAGGATATACTGGACCTTTCGGTGCCAGATGTCCCAGTTGTCCCCATTAAGCTTTTCTCCCTTGTTCAATTCAGCAATTATGTTCTTGGTTGCCATTCTTAGTTCTGTGACAAATCTATCCCACATTAATCTATTTTCTCTTAAAGGAGAACCGAACCAAAGAACATTTCAGTTATATAACACAATGAAGTATACAATGTAATGTGCCTATATTATCCTCGATCAGTAAATAATGAAATTACTAGATCTATGATCAGGAGAATACGTTTGTACATCCCATCACACAGATACTAGCAATAATCATCATGTCCTATCAAGGATTTTATATAAGCACTTCAAAGATTGTAACTTTTAGAAGTCTCATCTTCTAAAAGCTCCCACTTGTAAAAGGCATACATATGATATTCATAAATAATCATACAACAATAATTCAAGTAATTTCATTAAATGAAATAACATACTTAGTCTGTTTACAATGCATGAAACCATAAACTTAAGACGAATACAAATATTACATCATTTGATATGAACATAAAGGTAATCAAGCATTGCTTTTCTTAGGCTTCTAAGTTTGCGCGTTTTGTTCATAAAGGAGGATACTAGCTCTATGGCCCAAATCCAGTAAGACTTTCTTATGGGTTTGCCTTTAGGTCCGCCTCTAACTCTTATTGCTCTTATGTACTCCATTATGACTCTAAGGTAGAATTCGGTATTCTTCTTATCCGTCATGTAATGGACGTAGCTAGCGAGCACGCCATTGATGCCTTTTATGTTTGTTAATTTAGCTGCATCTCTTTCAGCTATTCTTATAGCTAAAGCAGGGGTACAGGGTTGATCCACCTCTTCGCCTTCCTCTACTTCAGTTTTATTGGGAAGATCTAATGAATCATTACAGACCAAATGAGGTTCAGTGCGGAGGGGTTCAGTGGGAAATAAAGATTCTGACTCAGGTCCAGAATCCATTAACTCCTCCGGGATTTCTTGAGGAACCTCTTCAGGGTCCTCTTCAGGATCCTCATCCTCTGGTTCATGTTCTGGAACTGCATTATCCATGTATAAGTATTCCAATGAACCATCTTGGATATTTTCAGTGCTACTAGAAGCCTCTTGCTTCATTTTCACCTAGAACAAAATAGTTTAAATTATTTTGAATATTCTGGAATTTATTTCCGCATAAAAAATACCAGAAAATACACTGAAAATACTCACAAATAGATCCTTAATTATCTCCAAAATTATCAAATTACATATCAAAATGAAGATCTTGATTTTAGGGATTTTTAGAGACAAACCGCACCTCAAACGGACCTTCCACGCACCTACACGCACCCCTAGAAGGAAAAATTAGCGAAAAACTAGAAAAAAAAAATTTTCCTACTAGCATAGTCGGCGCGTGTAATACACGCGCCTCCCTGCAGCTCGCCCCCGGTGACACGCGCCGAACCGGCGGCCTCCACGCGCCACGACCTGTCAGATGGTGGGCCCTATGTGTCCAGATGGCACGCCACGTGGCGACACGCGCCACGTGGCAGTTCTGCTCCAAAAAATTTTTTTTTTGGCACCAAAATGTTTTTTTTGCTGTTTGGGCTCGGCCCATATCTGCCCCCAACCAAAAAACATTGTTTTTTTTTTGGAATTTCTGGGCCTTAAATTTTTTTTTTTTTAAAAGGAGGGCCAAAACGACGCCGTTTTGGCCCTGGAGGTTATCTTCAACCTCTAGCCGGGTCGCCTTGACTCGGATTCTGCAATCGGGTCGGGTCCGACGGACCTGTCGGACCCGATTTCTTCTCTCCTCCGTATCTCCGCCGTCCGGTGTCCGTTTTTAGTGTACTTTATATCATTTTCTTCGTTTTTTCGAGCTCTACGCAATGGGATAAATTTTGAAGCCTAAAAACTTGATTTTAAGCAACCCAAAAACGAACAAGCGTATGGCCAAAAAAATATACTGTATAAAATGATTTTCATAGAGGCAGAGAAGTAACCCAATATGTCTAAACATAAATATAAGACACAAAAACTATCATATTGGAAGTAAAATGGAGGATTTGCATAATATATTGAAGCAAATCACTTAAGGTGTACTGAAAATGCCAAACCGTAAAAATGAATACGCAGAAGAACTCGGGCAGCGGAAGAAGAAAAGAAAAAATATAAACCTGAGCTTTGATGCCAATGAAGGTTTTCGGGCATACCTGGAGTCTGCAATGAAGTCAGGTTGCCACGCGGAGGTCCGATCACGGTGACGGAGTCGGATCTGGGAGACACAGCAAATTACATCGGTAGGAGAGTTTTTTGGAGAGACTGAGAGGAGAGTCTGATCGTGAAGGGGAGAAAGAAAAACGCAAGTCACGTTCCCATAAACTGATCCCTATCTATCAGTTATGTAACTCCCTAAAACCGTCTCCTCTGCACAACCGTTCCCGCCTTTTGACAAAATATATGAAAAGGCAAAAATTACAGTTAAAGACCCAAGAGTTTTGCTATTTACACTGGAGTCCCAAATGATAAATGGGCTTGGGTCCAATCCACCAAGGGTGGACTGGCCCATTTTCTTACAGAAAAGCATTGTACTCGCATCAAATCATCAATGGTTGGCTGGATGGAGAATAGTGCCTCGGTCGGGTCATCATTGTAGGTTTTCACCAGCTCTTCTGCTGTTAGTTTTTTGTCATTCCTAAATCTTTTGGTGATATTCCAGATCATGTCAAAACCCTACCGTCAATTTGGCATTAGATCAGAGTTCTTGCAGATGATTAATTGATGCTTAAAAGGAGGATTTGAAGATTGATGCATAAACCACCAATAATTACAATTAATATGATTTTCTTGTTTCCTTTGAAAAAAAAAGTATTGTGAAGCATTTCAATTCCCTGTTTGAATTCAATTTCCCCATTAAAAAGAGCACTTTATATATCATCATCAATTACACTATAATCCTACCCGGCGCACCACAGGGCAAAACTTTTTGCTGTCAAAGAGCCTCGCAAATGAAGTGTATAAATTCAAGGGACTCTTCCGTCCGACAAGTTTGTCTTTTGAGACCTTTTCATATTTTGCTTATTACAGTAGATTTGCCACAAACAACTTAAAGATGGGAACTTAATGGGGAGGGAGAGAGAGATCTTCCTAGTTAGTCTATAAAGCAGTCATACACATCTCGAAGCATTTAAGAAGGTACATTTTCAAGAATTTCTGAGTTTGGATCTATTCAACTGCCAGTGAGAAGAGAGAGAAAATTGACAGCAGAATTTTACCTCTACCACCTTGACTGGATCGATAGAGTAGAAAATTGGTATCACAATGTGTGACTCAAGCCACCAAGAAATCTCGTCGACTTGCTGCAAGCACCGTGTTGAACCAACATAAGTTTTGGAGAATACAACAACGGAAACCCATGATTCATCAATCGCCCTTCGAGGGTGTTTAGGTAGACATGGGCTCACTGTGGCGCGCTTATTATTGTGCGGAAAGGTTGTTAAACCTACACTTTGAAAAGCAGCACAAAGCCTATCGGTGAATTCACAAACATGAACGTCATCGCCTCTGAAACTTATATAAACATTGCTCCGCCTCATTGATCGGCTACCTTTCCCCATGGCATTAACTCGCATTTGTATGCTCAGGCTATTATGGATGCTTCGCCTTATGTCCTCTTTGATGTCTTTGCTCTTCTGCTATTTTTTGATTTTTCTAATGAAGTACTGTAATCGACTAAATAACAACAAAAATAATAAAGAACAAAAGCCTAGCTTCCCTCTTCAATCTCCACATCAAGATTTAAAGTTGGAGGTTGATCAAGGCTGTTGAGCTGTTTTCACTTCGCACAAAATTTAATTTTCTCTTTTAATTTAATATTAATATTTTATGAAATTAAGAATTAAGAAATTAAACTGAAATCTCATATAAAATTAAAAAATTAAAGGACCACAAATTTTTGTTATCTGAATTATCTTGTGAAAATTAAATAATTAGTTAAAATTAATTATTTTCTATAAAATTGTAAAAAAAATTTATCTTAGGTAAAATCTCAAAATTACTCTCAATAATTTTTTATAATTTTTTTGCCAGAATTTTTATAATTTGTTAGCATTTAAGTTGTTTATCACCTGACTTAGCTTAACTTAGTCTACGGGGAGCATCCAATCAAATTGCAACTTGTCGTGTCTAATAAAAAACTTCAACTAACTAATTTAACATTATAAAATTAAAAAATTAAAGGACCAAAAATTTTTTATCTTAATTATCTTATGAAAATTAAATAATTAGTTAAAAATTTTATCTTCGGTAAAATCTCAAATTACTCTCAATAATTTTTATAATTTTTTGCCAGAATTTTTATAATTTGTTAGCATTTAACTTGTTTATCACTTGACTTCACTTAGCTTGGTCTATAGGGGACATCCAATCAAATTGCAACTCGTCATGTTTAATACTCCCCCATCCTTTATATAGGATCCAATTATAGAGTTAGTTTTGATCCTAAATATAAGACTCATTTCTCATATTTATTGATTTTCTCTAAATTACCTCTATAGATACTCCCTCAATCATAATGAAGTAGAAGAGGAAGAGAGGATATTAAGAAAGATGATTATGGTATTTTAGAAAAAACATGTCACACTTCTTATAATCAATTAAATCACCTAACTTTCTTAATCTAATCAAATTAGTTAAATGGGTCTTATATTAAGGATTGGAGGAGTAATCAACTTTGACCAACTAATTTAAGTTAGGAGAAACATTGCTTTCTTTTTGCCAGCTAGGAGTGAAACATGCTAGCAATTTATTTAGAAAAAATGACACAAAAAAAAAGGTCTGAAATTGTGATTTTTCAATTTAGGAAGTTAAGCTTTGAAATGACAAAGAGAAGTAAATTCAAATTAAAATTTTAAAATTCAAGAGAAATAACAAAAATACTTCTCTATTTTTCTTTTTTAAAAAAAGATTGGCCATGCCAGAGACTGATTGCCGACCGCCATCAATGATTGGCCCTTGACTTGATGGCTGCTGGTATTTTTTTTTTTTTAGTAATAAGAAATTATTTGAAGAAAGTGGTGAGATGGGTAACCAATAGGTGACTATCGGACTAGCAATAATCTTTTAATATTATAATACAAAAAAATATAAGTTATTAAGTTAATTTTCTTACTCTGAGTTTAGTTTGTGATAATAGTGTATCAAGAAATGATAAGTTTAAATTTAACATTAACAAGACTTTTATATATATATATGACATGAAATAATATGTGAATTAATAATAATTTATTTGGGAACAATAAATCTTGATTGAAAAATAATAAAATCTAAATTTTAGATTAACAAGGTATTTTTTCCTGATACATAACATGTAATAACATATGAATGAACTAAAAATGACAATAATTTATCTAGAAATGACAAGTCTTGATTGAAAAATGACAAGTCTAAGCTTAAAATTAATAAGACTTTTTTTCCTGATACATAATTTGAAATAACATGTGAATTAATTAAAAATGACAACAATTTATTTGAGAATAACAAGCTTTGATTGAGAAATGAGAAGTTTAAATTTGAGATTAACATGGTATTTTTTTTCTTGATACGTAACAAGAAAAAACATATCAATTAAATAAAAAAATGATATCATTAATTATAAGTCTAGATTTGTCATTCCCAGATAAATTGTTATCATTTTTAAATAATTCACATGTTATGTATCAGAAAAAATGTCTTGCTAATCTCAAGTCTAGATTTGTCATTTTTTAATTAAGATTTATTATTTCCAGATAAATTATTGTTAAGAGCTAAAGCCAAAGTTAAAAAAACTCGCCAATTTGTTTTTTTGCATTATAATATTAAAAAAATCATTGACGGCTTTAGTTGGCCCAAATAACTATGGGGTGGTGGGATCAAATCCCAACTCCATCATTTTCTTCAAATAATTTCCCATAACAAAAACAAAAGTTTTTTGTAAAAAGAAAAAAAAAAGGGTGCAGCCACCATGCCAGTGGCCAGCGATGGTGTTGGTAGCCAACCGTCAACAATGGCCTAGCGGGGGTTGAAGTTTTTGAAGAAAAAAGACATTTTTGTTATTTTTTTACATTTCAAAATTTTAATTTGGGTTTACTTTTCTCTCTGTTATTTTCAACTCTTAACTTTCTTAATTAAAATTTACAATTTCCTCTTTTTTTGTCATTTTTCTATTTATTTATTTATTCTTTCTCATATCTTCCAAGAGAATCAATGAAAAAATATTAAACCTCATTAGTTTTGCTTAAAATGAAATAACTTTGGAACTTTATCCCCAATTATTTAATATAAAAAATATTCACAATAATAAATAAAAAGGAAAGTAGTATTACCTCCATCTTATAATTAGGGCATGAGAAAGTATATATTTATATTAAAAATTTAATGATTTGACTTATAAATATAATAAAAAGGTCTTATCTCTCTATTTTGTAAGTAAGATTTGTTTAGAATTGCAGCAAGAGCCTTTAAAAGCAGCTTTTTAATGATAATTTGCGGAATACAAAGTATAATTATAAGTTCTTATAAGTACATTTAACGTAAATTGAAATAATTTTTTTCAAATATTTACCATATATTCTATAAATTATGATTAAAAAATTATTTATAAATTATTTTAAACGGGTCCTAGGTAAAAAAAAATTTTATTTGACCCACGTAAATATATTTATAAGTACCTAAAAATGCGGATGCAAACAAGGTTTTAAATAACAGTGTCCAATAAAATTTTTATTTAATATATATTATTTTCAGTTTTTAATATAAGATTTCTTTTAAATTTTATTTTAGTTCTAAATATAAGATCTTAATATATTTTATCTGTCATGTTTATTTATTTTTTTCTTAATTCTAATAATAGTAGATCCAACTCTTAACCAATAAATATGATTAATAAAGAGTTTTAAAAAAGACAACACCTAATTATTATAAATAACTAATTTAACTTATTTTTTAAATTAATTAATTAGTTTTCCTCGTGATTCGCTCCTCAGGCCAAAACGTTGTTGGGATTTGTGGAGCCCGGAGAAGCCGAGAAAGACTTCAAATGGGAAAGAGCGACCTTTCTGTTTTCTCTATTTTTTTCTCACAAGACTTGAAAGCCATTTTTATTTCGTTAATTATTTTATGGCTTACAGAAATTTGTACTCCTCCGGTCCTAATTATAAGACCCAATTGATTTATTTGAGGAGATTAAGGAAGTAAGTTAAGTTGATTATTTATAATAAATAAGTGTTGTCATTCCTAAAATATCCTTGTTAATTAAGTATATTGACTAAAACTATCATTATTAGAATGATTATCTTGGAAAAAATACATAAATATAAGAGACAAAATGGATTGGGGTCTTATAGTTAGGACCAAATAAAAAATCAAATAGGATCTTATAATAAAGATCGAAAGAGTATTATTTAGCAGAGTGAAGTCGTTTGCTTTCTCTCTACGCACTATCTTTCCGTGGAAGATTATGGCGTTGTTGTCAAAATGGCTATTCATCATTTCTATGTGTGGGTCCAGTGAAACAATTTTTTATTAATAAAAACCTTTACCATTTATTATTTTTAAATGTATATTTTTACCTAAAAACTAACATTGGGCAAGATCCTACGTGTTTATGAAATAGGCGTATTACTCCTTCAATTTTAAATGTAAGATACTTTTTGTGATTAGAAGAAATTTTTGATCCATTTTATGAAATGGTTTGATAGTTTAATAAGTATTAAATATTTTTTCTCATATATGCTCATATTTAATAAAAATAGTGAGATAGCAGATATTAATATAATATTGAAATTTCATGTGGTTAATAATCATAATATTGAAAATCATTTAATTTAATGCAAATTTAATATTTTTAATTATTTTTATTAAAATGTGTAAATTAGTTAGAAATATTTTATATTATAAATCAAAGGGAGTAGTCAATATTTGCATTACAAGAGTGTTTAAAGATTATTAAACAAAGTTACATTAAAATATGTGTTTGGTTTTCTAAATTTACATCAAATTTTAATTTAGTTTCTTAAATTTTTAAAGTGTATTTTTAATTCGTTAATACTAACACCGTAATCTCATTTAATAAAAAGATATTCACTGTACAATTTAAATAATGACTTTGCAAATTACATGCTAACAAAACAGATTCTAATTTTAATTTTTTAATATAAATACTTTTTTATTTAAATTTCAACATGCTTTAACTTGTCAGCATTCAATATCAAAGTCATCGTTTAAATTTGCTTAAATCAATATATTTTTCTTAAATAAGGCTAAGGGTGTTAATATTAAAAGATTTAAAATATACTTTATAATTTTAAGGGATTAAAATAAAACTTGATGTAAGTTAAAAGAACTAAATGCATACTTTATTCAAAAAATTATTACTAATTAAAAAAATTTATTAATGGTAACAATATTAATGTTAATAAAATGTACGCTAACTTCTCAAATTTTAAATTGTAGCTGTTGATAATTTTTATTGTTTCTGTAATCATACAAATACTACCTCCAGTCCTAATTATAAGAGCTAGTTGATTAATTTAAGGAGATTAAAAAAACAAGTTAAGTTAGTTATTTGTAATAAATATGT